CATAACGAAACAGGATTGATTCTAAGTTCTTTCCTAACGGAGAGTCCACTCAATTGTTTACAACTACATAAGAGGAAACAAAAAAATCAAAAACCTGCAAAACGTCGCCAGGTCTATAATTCATGAATTTTTTATCCAGGGGGTTCTGCTTCTGGCCGAGGCCAGGCTGGGACGTCTAGCGCCGTCCCTTACATCTGCCCTGGGGCGGAAGGAAAAAGGTGCACACAGAACGCGTCAGGTCCTGCCATTCCCGGTCGGTCCCGGCCGGGGCAGACGATAGGAGTCCCGCGCCCGGTCCCCACCTTACCTTCACCGGCGGAGGCGGCCCGCGGAGGCCCTCCAGGGCCCCCTTCACGCCCAGCGCCGCCGCCGCCCCGACCTCGGCGATCAGGTTGTGGCCGCAGGCGTGCCCGATGTCGGGCAGCGCGTCGTACTCGCAGAGGAAGCCCAGGTGCAGCGGGCGCGGCACCGCCGGGACCCCCGGCGGTTCCCACTCGGCACGGAAGGCCGTGGCCAGTTGGTAGTGCGGCTGCACGGTCCAAGAGGCGGCCGGTGGCTCGCACTCGAAGAAGCGCGTCAGCACGCCGTGGGCATGGTGCTCCTGGTAGGCCAGCTCCGGCTTGCTCCAGATGGCGCGGCTCAGGGCGCCCAGGCGCTCGGCCGCCTCGTCGATGCGCTCCGCGGCGCGCAGCTTCAGCAGCTCCAGCTCGGAGACGCCGTCGCAGGCGCCCCCCTCTACAGGTCGTTCCTCTCCTGGTCTCATTGTGCCCAGACCCGGTGACAGGTGAGCACTCTGCTCGAACGCCACCTCGGTCGCTCCCCCCGGGTGAACCCCGCGCCTGCGCACGCGCCCAGCGTCGGCGAGAATTTGTGCGGTGCGCGCAGGCCCGCTCCGCGCCTCCCGGTACCCCGCCCCCCAGCGCCTTGGGGAAAACGTGGTCCGCCTCTTCTGCAGCTGGCAGGTGCTCCGCCCCGTAGCTGGGGCGGAGAGCGCTGAGATGAACCAGGGGTTCAGAGACCCGTCTTCTGCTCTTCTCCGCTGTCTGGACAACTGAATTAAGCTCTAAAGTTATCGTCACTTTCCCATTGTTGCTTATTTCCCACCGCAGCAGAATAAGAACGGTTTTATCGGTTAGAAGGCATCAGAGACAGACCAAGTGGAACATAGTCCCCTGAAAAACGTCACTCCCCACAACAGTAATAAAAAAATTATACAAGGTTATTAGTTCATAAAACTAGGTGTCGATATAAATGCTATACAAAGAACACTGATCCGTAGACTTTATATATTTAAGTTTTAGGTACTGGGCCCAGTTCTTCTTGAGGTTGCTGAATTATTTGTAAAAGCTGCTGCTACTCTATAGTTTACTCATTAGAATTAATTCTTAATAGTGTCTACAACAGCACCTGGAATATCGTAAGCACAGGATATGTATTAGCTAGTATAGTCTATCTGAGTAGAGTAGAACTAAGAATTTTAAGTGAGTTTTTTAAAACCCCAAAACAGTTAAGAAAAAGACTTGAGGTCAATTATTCATACTATTTTGTTGATTTTGGATGTTTTGAATAGTAATAACTTTGAAAGAGAACATATGACTAGTAGCATTTATAACTTTGATGCTGAACTCAAGTAACATGATATATACAGCTGGTGTTCACATAACTGGGTTTTAAGTTACCCAACGAAGAAATTCAAGATGCAACACTCTTGTTTTTCTCCAGAGTGAAGCACAAAGTCTAAAAAACTGTCGTTGATGCCATGCCTATTAATAGCACTATAGAAAATTATATCTTAAAATGTTCCACATTATGAAAGAGAGACTGTTCCCTGACATTACACTGTCTGACCCATGAGTTGGCCCCGGGCCAGAACAGAGATTGCTTACTACAAACACCCCTTAGAGACTTTGTAATCCATGTTCATTTTGACTTAAACCAGTACTCCTTCCTTATCTTGCCTCCTTCTATGTGCTGGTTTGTGGGGCAGACTGTTGTCCTGACGTGGTCAAGCACATAAAGTAATTTCTTATACCTGGTAGCATTCAGGTACTAGTATCCATGACTATCCCACTTTGTTCTATATAATTTTCTGGCATTTGCCAAGGGGGATGGGGATCCATTTTTGTCTTGAAGCCACCGAGGATGCACCTCATATCTAAATTTCCGTTAATAAACTCTAAGTTATCAGACTGAAGTGGCCGGCCTCCTTCTTCCATCTTTTCCTACTGTGTATGGAGGTAGATTTTCAGTTCCGGGAACTTTCCCACCCTTTATGTACTAACTCACATATTAAAAGCTTCCATCAGCTTTTCATATTCTACTATCTCATTTCTTAATTTGTCACAGTTGAGTTAAATGGGACACAGTATATTCATAATAACATAAATATGTTTTTTGAAAAGTCTAAAGGAAGCTAATATACATGAGGGCTGCCTACTAGTTTTTAACAACTATACATACTAATAACATCAGAGTAAGTGTCGCATTCTAAATCTGAAACTACTGTCATTCTCAGTTAACACCCTAACTGAAACTCATCCCTAAAGTCAACAAATGTGGTATTAAATTTCTGGACCCCTTTGTTTATACTTACTATGTTTTACTCTAGTATACTTCTGACAAAAACCCCCCCTGTAACTATGAGATTCAGTATTACTGTGTTCAGTTAGTTGGCTAAAAAAAAAAGACCTCCGTGAGGTGACATTTGGACAACACTTATTCTGTGGCAGGCACTTAAGTGCAAAGTTCTTTACATGTATTAATTCATTTAGTTCTCATGACAACCTATGAGGTTATTAATGTGATTATCTTCACTTTACAAATGCAGTGTCTAAGATTACACAGCTAGTAAGAAGCAGACCCAGTACAGAACAGAAGCCAGTCTGGCTCTAGTGTTCTGCTTTTAGCCACCATTCTCTACTGCTTATGAAAGCAGACATCCAGATTCATAAATGCACCTACAAGTTTGTCTATTTACATTGAAACCCATAACAATCACTCTTTTTGAATAAATTTTCTGCAGCAATTCTACCTGTTGACAACAGTGGAACCCATGTTTGCTCGTTCTTATCAGACAGCTATAAACAATGATAGAAATGGGGTGCATATAAATGTTATATAGAAACTTGTTATGAATTAGCAAAGCTGTCACCTGAGGTGGTAAAAAGATAGATTCATTTTAGGTTCTATTCTGTGTATGCACACATGCATGTGTTGGATTTCTGTTGTTGGCACACTATTTCTTTGCACCCTTGAATTAATTTATTTAATAAACTGATAATCCGTTGAAAGTATATCTTCCCCTCCAGTTTTTAAACTCTTGTTTTCCTGCTGCATTCCTCAGCACCTAACATGGTATGGTGGTGATAGAGTCCTTCCTCCTTCTCAATGAATATTTCTTGGCTATTATTCTTCAACCTATAAGCTAATTGAGTAATGGTAGCAAATAACCACTCAACTATGCTAACTACCTACAGACACTGTGTGTCAATGATATGCTTCTCCTTTGACTTCTCAGTTTTTTACCTGTGGAAGTTGAAAGGCAAGAAGAGAGGCTTCTGGAAGCTACTAGAGTTGGACCTTCTTGAATCTGTTCAGCTCAGTATTTCTTACTGTTACTTTCATTTCTACCCATAATATTCATACCACTAACTATGTGCTCCTAAGGGGCCTGTAATTTTTTTTACTAAAAACAAAAAAATTAAGAATATCTCTTTTCCTTTAGCTGCTGCTATATCTGAAAAAATAACGCAATACACAAAATTTAGTATTATGATGTAAATTTTAACCTTTGTTTCAGGGCTGGGGCTGGGGGGTGGGGTAGAGATAGTTATCATTAGAGGACTGATTTTAAAGTATAAAGATACCTCTTCTCTTGCTGCTCAAAAATCTAGATGCCATCACAACTGACTGAAAAACTTTCAGAATAGGAAATTCATGAAAAATGACTGCTTTGGTGGGAAGAGTAAATCAAACATTTCCTTTAACCTGGAAAAGCAACATTATTCATGATGGAAATACTAGACAAATTCACGAGACTGTAGTGGATATTATTTTGGACTTCAGATTCAGAACTCCTTTTGGCAAGACTACAGACTTTGATATGGTTTATATTCTTTTAATTAGGGTAAAATAAGTAATAAAATAAAATTCCTAACACAAAGTTGTAAGCATGACCTAAATGAGAAGAAAATATATTTTGAGAACACAGAAAAGAAATGGAATGGAAAATAAAATGAATAAAATTAAGCAAAGGTAAACAGAAAGTGCAAGGGATGGGGGCAGGGGGAGGAATAAAAAGTGCTGAAATGATTTCATCCATATAGAGAATGCAGATATTTCACCAGAAAATATAAAAACTTATATTAAGACCTTAAAAAATATGGAATTATCGACAAAAGAACATCCAGGCCAAGGAAAAGTCTTAGAAGAATTTATATGAGCCAAACTGATGACAAATGCCAGGAAGCAAAATTGCAACAGATTGAGAAAACGCTCTGGAGAAAGACAGTTTTACAGTTTAATTTATATCTTAGAATCAAAGGAGGTGATATAAGGGGAGGGGTTACATGAAATTCATTGTTGATAGATTAAGGAAGCAGGAGAAAGCAAAGTGAGGAAATCTGAGATTGGATATGAAGGAAAACAGAGACACATCTCTTTTACACTGGCGGGTATAGGGTAGTTAACATTGACAGCGCACAGAGATGGATATGTGGGCAAAAAGATAACAACGAGGAGTTCTATAGTCTCTGTGCTCTGGTGGGAGGTTGTGCCTGAGGGGTCTAGAAAAAGAGGATTATCCTGAAATTTCAAAGGTATATTAGATACAAAAAGACTATAAAGGCTCACTTAAGGTAAAGATTAGCCTTTGTCAAGGAAGCTACAGGCCTAGGATGTAACTACCCGCTATGACTCACTTTTAGTTAGGAATTTTTATGTTCAGGCCACATCTCATGTGGTTACTTTCTGCCTCTGAGTTTGGAAGGCTGGCCAACCATGCAGGCCTTCCATGAGCTTGTCGGGTTTAGTATGTGACCGCTTTTCGTCCATAGAAGAAAGGAAATATTTCCAAGAGTACACACAAATCTTGCTTCCTATCTTTTCATTTTAACAATAGTCGAAACCCTAACAATTTTCTCCAGAACCACAGCCTGGCACTGCATTATTTTGGGGCTGCCACTGCCAGCATGCCGAGTAAGCAAAATACAGTGCCACTGCGGGATATTGGTTGTTCACAACACTCCCCGCTAGACCTCCCCAAATTACAGTTCTCTCCAGAGATATATCCTCTAATTGATATAAACATGCACTTGAACTAGACAGTACATTAAGAAGTCACTTCTGGGCTAAGGTATTGGAAAAGCTGGCTGTGGTTTGGCAGAAAGCAGAAAACTAAGAGAATAAGTTAGCAGAAAAGTGAATTTTGATTGGAGGTTAAAGGACGTAGAAGAATTATGTACACATTGTTAAGGAAATAAAAATTTATCCAGACAATGGGTAACCGTTGGATGTTATTAAGCCAGGGAGAGGTAAAATTAGATTTTTGTTCTGGAAGAATAATTGAAGACTTCGTGGAGGATGAATTGGTAATGGAGAGACTTTGGTCTGAGACAAACTAAAAGGTTCATGCAAAGTCCCAGGATTCTAGAACATTCCACAGCCAGAAGTGACCAGACCTGATGTCTGATTTAATGTGTATGGAGAAGGAGGAGACAATGGAGGAAAGGAGAAAAGATAATTGAGGTTTTTAGTATGAACAACTGGGTGGATGGTAAAGTCATTAAACAAAATAGGGGAAATGGGAATGTGAGGGGTGAGTTGATGGATGTGCAAAAGACATGTCAAGAGGAGGTGGCACCCTCCATCCAAGAGACTA